AACAAATGGGTCTCTTCTGTCTCTGGCTTTTTGTTAGTCTTGGCACACACCAGCTTTTGCCAGGCTTCCATCTGCCACTGGTACCGCAGAGGTGGACAGGATGAGATCTGCATTTTACCTGCCTGGTGGTCCAGTTAACCCTGCAGCCTGTGTAGTGCTGGTTTTTCTCATGGAGCCCAAAATGGTGGTGATAGCATGGGAAAGCGTTGGGTCATCTGCAGAATCCTTATTTCTGGACCGTTCTTTTTATCCAGTAGTGAAACGTGAGGTCCCCACACAGCTATATCTATATTTATCTCTTGAAGAAGCCACCCCGTGACACAAGTGTAATGTGTTTTGTTTCCGCAGCTTGAAGATCATGAGTATAAACCTTTAGATCCTAAAGATATCCGTCTTCCGCCCCCAATGCCCCCCAGTGAGAGACTGCTGGCTGCAGTTGAGGCGTTCTATAGCCCACCATCTCACGACAGGCCTAGAAACAGGTAAGAGTAGGTGTAGCCCACAGCATGGTAAGGAAAATGCCCTGAGAAGGTGTCTCACACCACGAAGTGCCTCTCTCTTCCTTCACCTGTGTCTCGGTTCTTCTAACGCTGACATGATGAGTGCTCTTGTATTTTAAACTGTTTGATCTTACGCTGAGATTCGCGAGACCTTTTTGCCCAGACCCTTCGTTCCCTACGAAATCTGGGAGAAATCCTGAACGTTTCCCTTGATCACAGGAGAATTTTACAGATGTATGTTCTGTGTGCGATTGGTTTATTGCAGTGAAGGCTGGGAGCAGAACGGACTGTACGAGTTCTTCAGAGCTAAAATGAGAGCGAGGAGGAGGAAAGGTCAGGAGAAGAGAAATAGGTGAGAGATCCTGCCTGCTGCCTTCTGATGCATGCTGTTCTTCTGGAAGGTGCTAGGAATACCTTGGGCTAAATGCAGAGGGCAACTCTGTTCAGCAACACGCTGATGGAATAACTGAGTTTTAACTTGCTGGAATTTCTGTCGAATCTGCAGAAAACAGTTTTTGCCACCCTCATGTTTTCACTGGATTGTCTGCGGAAACGCAGTGCTTGTTTGTAATACGAGTTTGATCAGAAGTGTATTCCCGTTTGTCGTGCTTCTCCCAGGAGTTTCACGGGAGTTTCTCTGCTTTTGTCTGTGCAGTGGGCCTTCTCGGTCTCGCAGTCGGTCCAAGAGCCGAGGTCGCTCATCCTCCCGCTCCAATTCGCGATCTTCAAAATCATCTGGCTCCTACTCCAGGTCGCGGTCTCGCTCCTGCTCTCGGTCACGATCCTATTCGCGCTCCCAGTCCAGGTAGAGAGCAAGGGGCTGAACCTCGGGAACTGGTGGGGTGGGAAAATCCCAACCTTGGACGTTGCTCTGGTAACTTGTGCCCCCGATGCCGTGTGCTCTCCCGTTCCAGAAGCCGGAGCAGGTCCCGCTCTTCTCACAGCCGCTCGCGATCACGGTCACGATCGAGATCGAAATCGTACTCGCCGGGACGGCGGCGCCGGTCCCGGTCTCGCAGCCCCACTCCTCCGTAAGCTTCTCTGTTTCTTTCTCTTTTCACATGAGTTGTTGGCAAAAGTACCATCAAGGGTGCCCTCTTTATAAAATAATAGTTTAGCAGAATGGATGGGATTACGTTGGATGTTTATGTTTAACAGAATATAAATGACCTTCCATTATGTCAGAACAGGATCATTTAATTTGTTCTTGATTTGTTCTTCTTATTCCCTTAGTTCTTCTGCTGGTTTGGGCTCCAGTTCTGGGCCTCCTATACCAGAATCAAGACTTGGAGAAGAAAATAAAGGCCATCAGATGCTCGTGAAAATGGGTAAGATGCTGCTCTGGAATCGTACACAAGCCAGGAAACAAAATCAGGCCCCTAACTCTTGGACACAATTAATTAATGCATGTTCGTAAGTAATTGTCCCCTGGTATTCCAAGGGCAGCATAAGGATATTCAGAGATACGACTATATAGACCATGGAGCAGTGATGGTAGCTGGTTTCCTGGGAAGGGCATGGAAGACAGGGACGTGAGTTTGGCATCAAACAGAACTTACCATCCCAAGGCATTTCATCTCCCCATGGTGTAGATCAGCAGGGTTGACTGGAAAGATCGGGCTTGCGCTCTCTTTCCCCTTGTCCCCTTAGAAGTTTTTAGGGCTTTTCTGATGTTTTTCAGTGCCCAGAATCTCTGCATATTAATGCTTTTGAAATAAATGGGACAGTGCCTGCGTCGTTTCAGGCTCTGTTACAATCCTGCTCGACGGCACTGACGCTTTCTTTGGTTGTTTCCAAAATGTCTACGTTTGTCTGTCTGCAGAATTCCAGTAATAAAACCAGAGTTACAGGATTACAGTTTTGTGTCCTTTCTGCAGGATGGAGTGGATCTGGTGGACTGGGAGCCAAGGAACAAGGCATTCAGGATCCAATTAAAGGAGGGGATATCCGAGACAAATGGGATCAATATAAAGGAGTGGGAGTTGCATTAGATGACCCTTACGAAAACTACCGAAGAAACAAAAGTTACTCGTTTATCGCACGCATGAAGGCCAGAGATGAATGTAAGTGAATGTTTCTAAGCAATTTTAAAAATTCTGTAGACTTGATGGTGATTTTTGTCCTGTTTGTTGTAGACTGTAAACACAAATCCAAAGTGTTTTCATTTTTTCCTTCATTTTTTCTAAAGTAAACCCACAGGTAAGTAGATGGATGCTCTGATTAGCCCAGCATCTTTTCCTTTTCAGGTGTTGTGTTGTATTTTAATTTCTGACAACATTAATTAATTAGCCTATTCTGTGTAAAAGCCACTTCCTGGCTGCAAGACCAAGAGCCTACATCTCTGAATGTCACCCTCCAAAAAACAGGAGCAATCCCAAAGGTGGTGGAGGGAGCTGTGCCACAGGAGGGATGGCTGCCGGGGCAGGAAGGTCTTTGTGGTTGGAATGAAGTTAGACCACGCTTGCTGTTTGGCCCTGCCCAACTCCAGGTTTCCTACAATTAGCCCTGTGTTCTGCCAAAGCCAAGACTGGTAGTAAATTCCCTGTAGTGCAGGAAGGGTTCAGAAAAAGTGGAGGTGCTTCTCATGAGGTGAAGAGAATTACCCGAATAATAGATTTTTTTGCAGAGAGTCTGTGTTACGTAGAACAACTACACTTGTCAATGACTAAAAGGAGAAAAATTGGCATGCTAAATGAAAAGTCACTTCTGCCTACGGCTGCCGTAGATCTGTGTAATAAAATGGGTTCAAATAAAGCCCAAAAGGAAGAATTCCTTAACAGAGCCCTCATTCCATGCAACATTTCAGACAGCTTAGGTAACTGCAGAATGTGTAAGAACTCTTTTCCCTATTGTTTCAGTGAAGCGTGAAACGCAAGACCCTCCACCACCCGAATAAGACTCTCTGAAGAAAGATGTCTTGCATCTTCTACAAAACATTAAACTTGTATAAATCCGGATTAAAGTCTGGAGGAAGTGACAAATGAATTACTTTTAAAACTATGGTGAAAAACAGAAAGCTATGACACTTGTCATTTAGTATTTTAAAAAGGCCAGTCGTAACTATGACATGTCTAGCAAGTTTAAGAATTCCCATTTATTTTGCAAAATTTCTTAATTAGTTTCCCATTTTATACTAGAATTAAACCCCAGCCAAGCTCTCCCTGGTCCAGGATTGCGATTCATTCATTCCTGTGGAATACAGACGTTATCTGATACGGTTGTATGTCTCTAGTTCCATAATGTATGTTTATTTCTCTCAAAAGGTTAATTCTATTTGGAGTGGAGGGGTGCTGCCTTGGGATCAAGTCAGACTGATGCTGAGCAGTGTATCCTAATGTCTAAATGGGGAATGAAGCATCTAGTTCCAGTACAGGTGACCTATGAGCACTGTGCGAGCTTGTTAGAACCTACCCTACAACTTAACGCCCCTACACACCAGCTGCTGCAGTCCCAACTGGTCAGAACACGAGGGTTTCACTGGTGTAGCTTTTCAAGCGCTCTGAGGGATGTTCAACGCTTTGTAATGGAAGACATTCTTTAAGCTTTTTATATTTTTGTATATACCCTTTAATAAAAGCCAATTAGTTCGATAGAAGAGAATCCGTTTTCTCTGCTCTGCAAGTTTCTAACTATGAAACATTCTTGGAAACTTCCTTTAATCTAAATGAGAAAAAAAAAACAAAACAAACCTTTTGTAACTGTTTCCAGAGACCACCAGCTAAAGATGTTAGGCCCTTGCACTGCACTTCCACTCCAGAGGTCTGCGTGGTGGTAACCTCTTCCAGAGTCACTTGTTTGTACAGCAGAAACCCTCTTAAAACCATTCAGTTAATATGGTGAAATACCAGTTTGTTCTAGATCTACTGTAGTTGTGGAACTGTAACTGTCTGTGAATCAGCATACAACACCTGTATGTTATCAACTTGTGAATTTTATTGTTTTGCCTTCCAATAAACACTTTTTTTTTAATAAAAATAAGACAGTGGCTCATATTTCAGAGTAAACGGATTCCAGTACACTGGCTATAAGCCTTGTGTTGAATTTATCTTCATTTTGCAAGTGTTTGGGTTGTAGTACCCTGGTATAAACACTGTTTAAATATGGCACTAAAGCCAGGATGGAATTTTTCTACTGTGAGCATATTCCTTGGATGCTGTAGCACAGACCTTCCCTTCTGCCATGATCACAGCTGTGATCATGGATCACGCAGTCTCCACAGTAAACATGCACTGTCAGGACTTACCATGCTCCTTTTAGAGGGGTGTTTGCTGGGTTTCTTTTTTGCTGAAGACTGATGTAGTCTGGCCGAAGGCTCCTGCCTATCCCTATATTATGTACACCAGTAAAAAATTCAGATATAGCAAAACAAATTATGTATAAGATACAGAGCAATTAGTACAAATCCTTCCAGTACATAGTTAATAACTCCTCTGTACAATTTGGAAGGGTTTCTTGTTCCAACTTGAGTTGTAACTGGAATTTTACTTAAAATTCAGAGAGTCAAAGCAGTTTTTCTCCCTGTGCTTTCTGAATTTCTTCACGTGCTTGCTCAATTGTTAAAGGTGGGGATTTGTGATTCTTGATGTACTGCAAAAAGAAGGGAATATACAAATCTCCTTATTATGTAAGGAAATATCTCATAGTATTTAATCAATAATAAATCTTATGTCAAGATACCTGCACTTTCCTATACTAGCAACAGAAAGCAATATTTCTGTTGCAACGTTGGGAAGATCTGTTGCAACGTTGGGAAGATCCTTGTTCATTTGAGGACAGCTCAATGGCACAGCAGAAAGCTGCTTCTTTCAGAGCTGTGGCCTCCAGTAAGACTTTGGTCTTTTCTACTCTATTAACTCCTGGTGTGTTATTGATGGGGGCCCAAGCAATAGGGTGTTATTCTTTGAGGTAATTTATTCAATGATAATACGAACTTTAATGAATAAAATTTGGGAAGATCCTTGTTCATTTGAGGACAGCTCAATGGCACAGCAGAAAGATGCTTCTTTCAGAGCTGTGGCCTCCAGTAAGACTTTGGTCTTTTCTACTCTATTAACTCCTGGTGTGTTATTGATGGGGGCCCAAGCAATAGGGTGTTATTCTTTGAGGTAATTTATTCAATGATAATACGAACTTTAATGAATAAAACACAAAGAAAAGGTGTTCACTGCAAATAGCAGAAGGGTTTGGAAAGGAATATACGCTTACTGTATCTAGGCTGCTGTCTGGTCTGTCACAAATACCTCTTTAGCCTCCTCCAGGGTATGGTAGTGGAACTCCTCATTCTCCAAGGACTGCACAAGGGAGAGGTGAAGGTGGTGGATGTTCTCTACAAACTGCTGAGTCAACATCAAGTGCTGTTTCAACATGGTGTTTAAAACACGAACGGAGGGGCTGTATGTTGTCAAGGCTGCAAGAAAGGGAGAGTGCACACTGTGGTGACCCACTGCGGGCAGACAGCACAGGCTGAACACCCCAGGGAGGTGTTAGGTGCATAAACAGAGCAGAAGAGTAAGAAACATGTTCTCCAGTACCTTCCACTGCAGCTGTGCTGATGACGTGACTGGCAATGGGTACCGGATCGATGTAGCTGTTACCAACCGGCGGGTCAGGTACTGCAGAGGTGTTTGCTGGGTAGAGGATAAAACTGGAATTACTGGCTTTGGAGGGTGGAAAGGTTTAGCGCGAGCACCCAGTTCATCTGCAGCAGTCTCTTGGGACACCAGTTGCCACAGAACGACTGTAGAGCTTAACAGGAAATTCTGTCAGCCAAAAAACCTGCTAAAATAGTTCTATGACCTCCACAATTTCTTCACTCTCACATTCACAACATGTGCCATGTGGAAGGCGTCATTGCTAACCCTAGACAGAGTAAAAATAAAAATAGAGGCTGCTGTTGGTGGAAGGAAGCTACTGTTGGTGAGCACGCTCCAGTTTCTGTTTTCTCCTGCTCGGTGTGGCAACAAGTGGCTCTTGCCACTTTTCCCTTTAAGTGAAGAGAGGAAGGGAAGGAGCTCCCCCTCAGAAAGAGTTAAAGGCCACAGCTGTCTTTTCAAAATGGGGCCATAGTGCCTCCCACGAAATAAATCCAACGCCAAAAAGAACTCTACAAGGGGTGATTACTTCAGTAACGACACAATAGTCTCATTTACAACAGTAAAGTACAACAAAAATGTGGAATTCCATTTGAGAACATTACTGGGGCTGTTGCAAGCTCTGTTGCTAACACCAGCTCATCCATCCAGAGTTCCTGCTGTCGTCTTATTTTAGCAAAAACCAGTTCCAAGTTCTTACTCTGTTGTCCAATCTCAATCTTTTCTATAGACAGCAGATCAAAGTGTTAGGCTTTACAAGGTTTTTCATTTCATGTCAGAGGAAGCCAGGACTGAAACGAAGAACTCCCCCAATGGTGACTAGGCTTGCGTATAAAATACAAAACATAAAAACTGCCTGAACAGGGCAGCATCTGGGGAACTTACTCTTTGCCCAGCAGTAGGTGGATGGAGAATCCACTGTCTGCACTGCAGTTTCTTTGACCGTGACTCTACGCACCGGGATGTGCCGCTCCCGGGTCAGTAAAGGTGATGACGCTGAAGATGGGTGTTTTCCAGAACACCTGCAGCTCTCAGGATGTTCCTCCAATGTTTTTGATGCAGATTTCCTGTCTGTTGTAGACTGAGACCTTTCAAAGTCTTCAGAATATTCCGAATTAACAGTTGTCTCAGCATGATCAAGATGATCCTGTTTGTGTCTAGGGAAACCTGCAGAAGTTCCACTTAACTGCTCAGAGATTTCAGCTTCAGTCATGGTTTTTTCCATACCACCTTCAGAAGCAGCATTCACACCAGTTACTGCGCTCGTCATTTGAAGAGAAGGTTGGTCTTTTTCCACCAGGAATGTATCTTTTTCTGGATTTCTCTTTGATTCTTGAGTAATTTGAATGTCTGTCCCCTGTAAAACAAAACAGCTGTATGTGAGGAGAAGCAACAAAATATAACCTAGAATATGCCTCCAGTGTTCACCATCTGTTCTGCTGCGTATCCCTGAGACTTAGCTACGACTTTATTAGGAAATAAAAACGTTGCTCTTTGTCACCTTGCAAACTACACAGTGCTGTTACATTTAGCAGGGAAATGCAGACACTAAAAAAAGAATTTGGTCAGATTTCAGTAAAGTCCTGCTCTAACCCTTGCAGCTAGTAAGGCATGTCCACCTCAGATAGCCCACGAGCATCCCTAACAAACAGGATGGTTTTTAGAATATCCACCCTCCACCAAACAGAGGCAGAATGGGAATTTCTACTTACTTCCTGCTTTAATTTTGTAGTCTCTCTGGTGGTATTTGGTGCCAAATCATCAAGGCTCAGGATATTGGGTTTGAAGTCTGCAATCAAACAACATATTATCACGAGAATTTGCATGACAATTACAGAACACTTCCCCTTAAGCAAGAAAAGTGGGACTCAAATAAAACTACTACATTTCTAGTTTGAGGTGTAATACTAAAAAGTAACAGCAGCCAATCACTCTATTCTTTAATTTAGCAGCAGTTCTTTCTGAAGTCTCCCCCTTTGCCATTGGTGGATCTGTGAACCCAAGTTCAAGACGTTCTTGCTGCCCCTCGTTTGCTCTTGTCACTCAGATACACAAGTATGTTGTCCCACTGACAGGAAAACTAAATGTTGTAATTGTTTTGATGTCATAACTAAGTGTCACCCAGGAAAGCATCATTGAACTGAACCCGTTACGTCAAAAGCCAAGAAAAACACAAATATTCGACACTAGAAAAAAGAAACAGATCAACGTGATTCCTTCGGTAAAGCCTCAGTTCGTGTAAAACTACACTACTGGATCCTTTCCAAGTAATTGCTCATGTTTATCAGTAAATTTATCAGTAGATTATTAGTACAAATCATGCCAAGTCTACTGAAACAATGTTTTAGAAAACTTACCGTTTGAGCTGCTGCTGGTTGAGTCTTCTGCCTTTGAAAACAATTCATCTAGTGATTTTATGTCACTTCTGTCACTTTCAAGTGACACGTGGCTTTGCTTGGTGTTGCCCAGTCTAGGCAGAGTCACCTTTGCAGTGTTGCCTTTCACAGAAGACTGAGCTCTGGTACTATGTCGTACTGGCAGGTTTCTGCTGGCTGGTGGAGGTGTTGGTGAATTAACTCTACCAAAACCATTTTTTTCTGGGTCTTTGCTGTGACAAGAAGACACTTCAGATAACTCGGTCGGTGACATTTCTTTATGAGATGGAGGAGG